TTATAGTTTGCAGTATTGTACTAATATTTTCCTCCTAGGTGTACCTAACGAAACATCTCTACAATATTAAAGAAAAAGATTGCTATCTCAGCTATATTCATGGAAGGGTTAGTTAGAACTCTTTTCTTTAAGATGAATGTTGTTGACCCCAAAAAATGGACCAATGACGTAACCAACAGAAAAATGGAAATTCACGTCTTTGTAAGTGTAATAGCAATATACTCAAATCAAATTACTAATTATATTGATGAGTTAATGAAGAGAATGATTCAAAGTGTTTGACCAGTGCAATGTGGTTATTTGGTTGATTAGAAGGGGGTCGGCGTAAGGAGTAAAACAGAGAGAATCAAGGTTCACTTTTGCTGTGTAAACTTGCATTATCCCTCGATGGTGTTAAGTGTATCTTTTTATACCAAGTTTAATGGGGAATCCAGCCTGTTAGATGGCCAGCCACGTGAGTATACTAGATCCAAGGGTCTTTATTGACGTCAATCAATCAATCAACCAAGCCCTTTAATGCTAAGATCCCCACTTGCAGGCTAAGGATCCGGTAGTGTAGGTATGTAGAGGTGGCACCTGCAGTGTATTGTCTTGTCAATCACTTTACAAGGTCTGCAGTGGTTGACTTACCGCCTCTCCAAGGATAGGTTCGTACCGGGGACCTCTTCCAAAGGGGATTGGACGAAACAACTTCAAATGGACTATGCCTCAGCATATGTCGAGTCGGGTTGCCCACATCTATGCCAAATAATTTTGTCTATCCGTCACATGGTGTGTTTAGTTTACGATTATTTATATGAGTAACAAATGTTGTCTATGAAGATTCCGACTTTGATGAAGATCCCAAAACTTGTCGAGTTCTCTTTCTTAGAAACGAATGATTATTGATTAGAAGCTTACATAATATCTTGTTTGGGGTACTTCAAAATCATTCTGAGCAACATCAAGTAGGAATCTTCATAAACATGGATAGGCATCAAATTAAAAAAAAAAGATCGATGAGTAGATTTTAAGCTTTTACTAATTAATTTTGAACAAATTTTACGTGCATGCTTGGTTCTTGTATAATTGGTAGATTCTTGTTTCTCTCAGACCCACCAATAATGCATAATCATTCACCGATGGATAAAGGTGAATCGAATAGCTGGTTAATTTAGCATATGTCCCTCTTATTTAATTATTTGGTATGGTAAATTAGACAAAAATGAATTGAATAATTGACAAACTTTATCACACGTCCCTCTCATCTATTTTTGTTTAATTTTACCAAATATAACCTTAAGGAATATATCCTCTTTCAAGAAGCAAGAAATAGTTTTCTTCATTGTTCCAAGTCCCATAAAATGTAACAAAAAAAAAAAGAAAAAAAACTTTGAAATATAGATGATATAAATAATAACAGAGAAACCCACGAGCTTTATAACAATATTAGACACCCACACATTTGAAAAATCATATTAACCTTCATTATTTTTGGTTTTAAGCAGTGTTCTAAAAAAGCGTATAGATGGCGTCGAGGCGCGTGGACGAAACGCCATACCTTGGTAGTACGATCAACTTTGACCGCTTAATGTGTGACACATCTTGATGCACTTTATTAATTTTTAATTTTTTAACTTTCTTTCCTTTTTAAAAGCTTTTTATTTGAATTTAGTTTCAAGTTTTTAAATGATTTATTTGTACAAAAGTAAAAATTGACTTTATCTGAAAAAGTTAGATAAGATTTACGTTAACATGTTATGTACAATATAATTTTGAGACTTATCATTTTGTTGTAATCTTTAAAAGTATGTATGAAATTCCTATAAATCTATTAAATGGACTTACCTAGTTGAAAGTTGAACCTATGAAAAATAGTCTAGTTTTTGCATTTCGAAAACTTGAAAAATTGTATAATTGACTAATTGTAAGAATTATTAAATAAATATAGTATTTTATAATTTTAGATATTTGATAAATACTATTTTAATTATTAAATAATTTTTAGAATGATTAGAAATTTAAAGTAATTTTAAAAATAAGAAAAAACTTTTTTATGCCTATATTCATAAAGCTTGAAACTTGCGATTAACCACACTTTACACTTTTTAGAACATTGATTTTGAGTAATATGCACTTGTGAAGAAAAAAATAAAGTTTTCTACAATAGTTAATTTCCTCAAACTAAACTATAAGAACGAACACACACACACATATAAGTTGTATTATTTGTGTGAATGTATTTTTTAATAATAAAATTTGAATGTGTACAATATTTTATTGAACCAACGTATACTATGTTTTTGCTATTTTGTTAGAGATAGCAATGGGGAGAGACGGGATTGGGGTGGGTGGGGACATGATTGAAAGTTTCTCATTTACAATCGTGTTTAATTAATTGTTTATTTTTTAAAATAAGTTTTTGGGAGATGGCCATATTTTATGTACCCACCTAATTTAGTATTCAAGACATGATGAGACATATCATTCATATAGATTTTATTTGATTTGTAAAAATTATACGTTTATATTTAACCTTTTGATCTCAATTACAAATTTACAAATATGAATTTCTATTGATAATAATATTCAAATTATGTATACATAATACATATAATTAATTAAAAATTTAAATCATTTATTGCCAATTTTTTCGACAAATTTAGAATTAAATTTTCACTAGCATATATATTTAGAATTATGTGTGCAAACAATCTTTTAAGTATTAGTTTATTATTAAAAGAAACAAATTAAATTGCAATTAGTTGTAGGTAATTTCGCTTTTCTCTTCACAAGGACATTTTAAGTATATATAGCTCAAAATGTGGTTAGGGTTGTATGTGATACTCAAAAACTAGAAATATGGGAGGTTAGGTTACCGTAATTTTTTTACTGCGAGGAGATATCTATAATTATATTGTCATAAAACTCGGAGAATGTATATAATATTGTCTATAAATGATACTATTAAATAATTTGCCTAAAATATTACATATACACAACATACATTTTAGAATTCTACTACTTGACCTAAATTTGTAATAGTAACTCTAGGACGAAACTCCTCCACAAAATTACAATAATGAAAACATCCAAGAAAAAATAAAGAAATTACTTGGTGCCAATCATTAACACGTTGTAATTCCCTACCATAGTGTCCTCTCTAATTCTATATTTAATACCACCTCTATGTCACACTTTTGACAATATTAATTTATGCTAAATGAAATTAATACTTTATGTATCTTTTTGAAAAATAATAAATTAAGGATGGGGAAGACAATGGCTCATTATTTCTAGAAACTTAGGGGTTGTTCTCTTTGTATTTCAGCTTTTAGTTTTGAGTTTTGAATTCATTTTAAGTTTTATGTTTTCAAAAATTAAAAAAAAAAAAAAGGAAGTTTTGACTTGGTTTTAACTAAAAACAGTCAAAACGACTTTTTTTTGCATTTTCTGTTTTCTTTGTAAATTTTAAACTCGTTTTTGAAAATTCATTTCTGAAAATAGATAAGTAAACGCGTTTACAATGTTTCGAAAACTAAAAATTGAAAATGGCCTAAAAACAACAAAAAGAACTTACCCTTAATTTTTAATTTATTTAAATAAAAATCTAACATCTCTTTTAATTTATTTAAATAAAAAAAGAACATACCCTTAATTTTTAATATCTTTATTCGTTTAAAACTAGGATAGTTTCACTAGACATGTCATGAAGATGTTATAGTTAANCCCCCCCCCCCCCCCCCCCCCCTCTCTGTTATTTATTTATTTATTTATTCATTCCCATTAAGTGCTTATTAACATTATATCATCTTTATGATGGGACATTCTTCTTTCTTTTGAAACTTCACATTAAATTAACAAGATTAGATAAATAATTGACAAGTTATGTATAACTTCTATCAAGGGGCAAAGACTTGATCGTAACTTCTGAGCAAATTCTAATTTTTTTTTCATGTTAAGAAATGTAACGGAAAATCTTCGGCAAAAATATTTTTATTTACCTTTATTTAGATTATTACTTCGAGTATGAAAACAACTTATCCAAGAAAATAAATGAAAAAATTTACTTTTTGTGGGATTATGCCAATCGTGAAGATTTATTACCTAATCATAGTGTCTTATATTCTATCTTTAATTTTATCCCTAAGTGACACTTTCACAGTATTCCTATGTAATTTTAGTTAAATTAAAATTAATACCTATACATCTCCTTAAAAAAAAATTTCAACCACACATTTCATCAACTTTTATCAAAATCTACTGAAAATTTAATTTTAATCTCTACCAAACAGCCACTTACTTCCTAGAGTTTAATTTTTAAAAATTATAACATCTCCATTCCATTAAAACTAAAATAACTTGGTTCGACATAAGTATTGTTTAATTTTTATTTTTGGTACTTAACTTGTTAGTAAAAGTAAATTTCTCTGAACTAAAGGGTTAAATATATTGATACAAAATATATGGTATTTGAAAAATCATTATTTTGATGGCATTACAAAATTCCATCTCTCAAATGCATCTATTTATAACTACAAAAAAAGATCAACGAATGATAAGTTGCTTAGAAAAGCTGGTCTGTTCCCTCATTATTTCACAATCAACCACTATTTTACTCGTTACTGCATGCATTAACTCACTATATTGTTTCTGGGTGTATAGAGAGAAAATGGAGAGCTAGAGTGAGAGAAAGTATGGCGAAAAGTTGTACAAAATTCTCTTTCCCAACGAAAACCCAGAATAAGTACACAGATATCTAATGCATTTATTGCAAAAGTAAATAAAACTGATATAGTTTTGTTTTTTTAAGGTTGAACCCCAATCTTGAGGGCCCGCTTCGCGAGCATCGTGGAGAGGGATAGTTGTGTTTTTTCATTCTATATAGACCAACCCTTTTCCTATAAGTCCTTCATCATCAGATCCCTTGCTCAAGAACCTCCATTTCTTGAGCATAAAAGAAAAAAATATATAATTTTGCATAATTTCTTCGAGTGTTCTTCTTGATCTTTGAAGGCAACATGCCTAATGATGCTTTGCATTTAGTCTTTGGTGTCATCGGTATTTATGCTTATCCATTTTCGTTAAATCGTGCTAACACAATACATAGTTTTCTTGATATCATTCTTATAATTGCTTCTTTTTCTCAAACTGAATTTCCTTTTTTAACATTTTTTCTTATTTTTTTTTTTGTTGATCTTGTTTGATTAAACAGGAAATGGTACTGGTTTGTTTCTCTTCTTGTCTCCAATGTAAGCTTTATGAGAAGCTAAATGATGAGATTTTCATTTTTTTTAAGTCATTACTCATTAATTAATTTTACGATTTATTATAGATTATGCTTTTAGAGAATGATTTCTTCACCATTTGGTGTTGTTATTTTTCATCCCCAGAAATGTTTCTTACTTAGGACTCCTTAATTAGCTATATTATAATTGAGTCTTAGCTAAGTAAATATTAAATTTAGATGATTTTTCAAATTAATGACAGGGTTACATTCAAGAGAATTGTCATGAAAAAATCTACAGAACAGTTCTCAGGCATTCCATACGTCATGACTTTGCTCAACTGCTTGCTCGCAGCTTGGTAAGTTTTTTGAAATAGAGACTGATCTTGTAACAAAGTTAAAACGTTACTTTTAATATAATTGATATGAGTTATACGAATTCCATGTTGAATCCATCATTATATCTACTGAAAAAAAACATATTTAACCCTAATCAAATTGATTATATAGGTATGGTCTGCCTTTTATATCACCAGACAACATAATGGTGACAGCAATCAATGGCACTGGTGTACTAATCGAGTCAGTTTATGTGCTGATTTTCCTCATATTTGCACCCAAGAAGGAGAAGGAAAAAATCTTGGGACTTCTCATTTCCATCCTTGCTGTATTTTCAACTATTGCAGCGGTTTCGGTTTTTGGGCTCCATGAATCCAAGAAAAGAAAGCTTCTCTGCGGCTTTGCTGCTTCGATATTCTCTATAATAATGTATGCTTCACCTTTATCCGTCATGGTAAGATTTAACATAATATTTCTTCTTTCATTATTCAATTATTTAACAATAATGGAGTTTAAGAGATTTTTATTGTGTATTTATGGAAATCAATTTGCATGTGCAGAGAATGGTGATTAAAAGCAAGAGTGTGGAGTATATGCCACTCTCCTTATCCTTGTTTGTCTTCCTGTGTGCTACTTCTTGGTTTATTTATGGACTTATTGGAAGAGACCCTTTTCTTTTCGTAAGTATTTTTTAAGTTTTCAGATGAATTAATTTAATGTAAAAGTCAAAATCTCACTATTAATAAAATATTAAATTAACGTGACAGCCCTTATGTATAATCAGAGGTGTGGAATGATCTAAATTGAAATTAGTTTTGATTATGCAGGTACCGAACTGTTTCGGGTGTGGATTAGGAGCAATGCAGTTGATTTTATACGCGATTTACCACGGTAAGAAAGGCGAAACCAATAAAACGAGCGACAATGAAGCTTTCGAAATGGGAATTGGCAAGAATTATCAACAAAAGCAATCATATGTACTTAATGGACACCCATAAAAACCCTAAACCCTAACCAATGTACCACTTTTATTTATTTTACTTTTGGCTTTTGTTTTTTTTTCCCTGATAATTACCGTCAAGTGTTTTCTACCATTTTATACTCGAATAGAGGATGAAGTGATCATGCACTCAAGTCTTATTTAACTGGAAGCAAGATGCCAATAAAGAACATGTTTCTATACGATTATATTAGAATTTCTTAAGAAAATTGTTATGTAACGGATCGCTAGATAATGACAATAATGAAGAAGAAAATAAGAACACAAGAATTTATGTGAAAACCCAATTCGGGCAAAAAAAAAATCACGGAGAGAGGAGAATAATCCACTATAATCAATAGTTTTGTATTTACAATATCAAGATTTTAATAATTTCAATTGAAATCTAAGCTCTCAATCTCTCTATATGTTGTTGAATATGTAGAGAATATAATGAGAATGTTTTTCTTATTTTTTCTCTATACAAGTCGTGCCATATACTGGTTCGCTCGAGCATCCAGCTAGCGCTGGACTAGCAAAAATGCTGCAACTTTTTCCTCCGGTCCATAAATTTGATCTCTTCAAGACCACTCCAATTTAGACTCCAATACCCACTAAAATTTGAGTCAAACCACAACAAAAATATAAAATGCTAAATGAACTTGTATGATCAGCAAATTATTTTAGAAAGTATAGCATTCACAAAAAATAAAATAAAATGAGTTGTGCTTATTGTTAATTTGTTATATATAAAATTACAGTGTTTTCTGTCATTTAAAACTGTCATACCTTGTAAATTGCTAATCATTAACGTTCTTGAATAATTAGGTTCACAATTTAAATTTTGTGATGTTATTCAGGATGAAGGTCGCGTATTTTATTTAGACATTTCTGTCATTGAGGATGTGGTGAAAAAACTACATTTATCAAACATTTGTTTTGTGCAATTAAGCATCGGTTCATAGTGAAATTAGTAATTCTTTTTTTTTTTTTTTCCTTTCGATTTTGGCATTTTTGAATTATGTAGTGCGTAATCAATTTGATCGTCTTATAATGTGTTTGATTTTTTTTTTTTTTTTTTTTTGAAGTTAATTATATCCTAAAATTTAACAAAGAAGTGTAAATACAAAAATTAATTTGAAGTTCTAAGAAGAATGTCATTTTCCACGATACAGAATTTCAATCCATTTTAAACTTTAATAATTTATTCATCAAACATAATTGACAAAAATTCAACAAAGAACATATTCGTAGTTTTGTCCTAAAGCTGCTTCTTCATTTACAAAGTGATGTAGATCGAAACTACAAACACACTAACAAACGAGTTGCACCTTAAGAAAACAAATGCTTTTTTTATTTCATGAACGACCAAAAAGTTTACAAGACGTTTTAGAGTCTTAAATACTAAAAGAACAGAAAACTTACTACACTGGCAGTCCCTTAATGGGTTGGGCTACAAAACAAAATAAATGAATATTGAAAATAATAAACTAAAAAATATTAAATGCCGTTTTGACTTGGCAAACGAATTTAAACATCCAAAATCCCTCATACATCACGGCAAAGCTGTGAGTTCAATGGGAATCATCCCGAACTTTCCGGAATGAGGTCATATGTCCAAAACGGACACTGTATGCAAATATTTTGGCATTTTTGAATTATGTAGTGCGTAATCAATTTGATCGTCTTATAATGTCTTTGATTTTTTTTTGAAGTCAATTATATCCTAAAATTTAACAAAGAAGTGTAAAAATTAATTTGAAGTTCTAAGAAGAATGTCATTTTCCACGATACAGAATTTCAATCCATTTTAAACTTTCATAATTTATTCATCAAACATAATTGACAAAAATTCAACAAAGAACATATTCGTAGTTTTGTCCTAAAGGCTAAAGTTGCTTCTTCATTTACAAAGTGATGTAGATCGAAACTACAAACACACTAACAAACGAGTTGCACCTTAAGAAAACAAATGCTTTTTTTATTTCATGAACGACCAAAAACTTTACAAGACGTTTTAGAGTCTTAAATACTAAAAGAACAGAAAACTTACTAGACTGGCAGTCCCTTAATAGGTTGGGCTACAAAACAAAATAAATAAATATTGAAAATAATAAACTAAGAAATATTAAATGCCGTTTTGACTTAGCAAACGAATTTAAACATCCAAAATCCCTCATACATCACGGCAAAGCTGTGAGTTCAATGGGAATCATCCCGAACTTTCCGGAATGGGGTCATATGTCCAAAACGGACACTGTATGCAAAAGTTACGTCATTTTCTTCGAACGCCGACTATCTAAACATTTCAAATACGCAAGTACTCGTTCCTCCACACTAACCTCATCACAAAGCTATCCTAGTAACCCCACTAGCTAGACATTGGAATTTTATTTTAAGCATATGAATGTACATTTGTATCACACTTGTTAGTGTAGATTTATTTGACTCACCTATACTTGTACTTTAGGCCTCGTTTCATCTTTCTTAATTCCTTATTCTATTCAATTTGTAGTGTTACAAAGATGCATTATCCTTGGGGTTAATACATTTGTACGGAACTATTCACTTTACAGAATTCTTACACCCTCTCACATGAGGGTAGGTCCCACGCAATAAAAAAGAAAAAAAATTACACCCCTGCCCCCCCCCCCCACCCCACACTCTCCCTTTGTGAGTATATGTAGGTTGTCTGTATATGTACATGCAGCATGTTTCGTATCCTTGTTATGACTTAATTGATTCAACTTATAAAATAAAAACCCCACTAGATAGACATGAAAGAGCAATCAAAAAGCATGTTACGTCCTTAACGAGACCAGCCAGCCGCAGTCCTCCATGGTAACAAGAGAACTCCACCCCCACACCATTACTGTTCATCCAATGCATCACAAAACATGTTTGGTACTCAATATTGTTACATACCATGGCCGACAATTAACAAGCACGAATAGCACCGTATGAATGCTAACATGATACAACTCTATTAGCAACATATTTACGAACAAAAATATATCCTAATATGTGAACATGCTCAGATTGGTTGCAAAAATTAATCCCTTATCTCCTTTAGTAAGCAAACCAAAAAAATATACATTGCCCCAAAAATTTAAAAAAAAGCTCCAATCGATAAACTAGTTAAAACTTCAAAAACACAAGCTACTAATAAAGTCTCTTTTAAAATTGCAACAGTATCTTGATTGTGTAGAGAAGTTAAAACATTTAAAAGTCTGCAGCGTGCATGTTACCGGACACTATTTCGATCCAAAAGAGAAAAAAGGGTTCCTTGGCTTGCTGGCCAAATTTCATAGAGGATAATTCTTCTTCTACATTAGGGGTGTCATAATGGTGTCCATAATGGACACATGACACTCCACCATTAGAGAGTGTGTTGGCCCACCATTATGGCACCCCTAATGTACTTAGCACTTTCCATGCCATGTTTGATTGCAACGAATTCTTTGAAAAATGTCACATCCGAAGAAAATGAATTTCACTTTGGCCGTTTGATTGCAACGTGGAAATGGAAACCTAATTCCAAGGTACAGCCACTTTAAACTGTATTTTCTTTGTTTTCATGGAAAACGATTTTTTATGAGTTTGGTTGGTTTTTATTTTCCAATTAACATGAAAATGGAATTCATTTCCACCATTGTCTATCAAAGAGACTCTTAAAAGATTTAAAACATGTAAGAAGAAGAGAAATACATGATGAGTTTAAGATAGGTCCCAAAACATGTAATGAAACAGTGAAAACATAGAATCTGTCTCGCCGCTGAGAATTAATAACCAGTTGCCTAACGGGCAAGGCAGTGCACTTCTCTTTCCTAACTATCTTTTCACAATTAATTTTCACTTGATGAGTCTCAGAAACATTTTGCAGCGTTCGACTCTATCCTATAGATAAAAAATTATTGAATTCGATCCAACTCAACTCAATAATATTGATATTGAAGAATGTATTATTTAAAATTTGATCTTGGTTATTATAGGAAAAAAGAATTTGTCCGAATTGTAACACTCGGGACGTTCATATCTTGCTTAACTATATCGCTACAAGTATTGGGGTGAACAAGTTGAATTTGAACATACATGAAAATAACCGTCTATACTTGACGACCATTATTTCAAAACTCTTGTTTTTATATATATACTCATTTCCAGCCACACATTCACACAATAAGATATTCTACACGTAAATCCAAAACTTTTACATACTTTTTGATCATACATTCTAAAAAAAAAATTAAAAAAATCACTATTTAAAACTTCATTGTATCCAAATAATGATTGTCAAACAGAGCTTAACATAAAGAAATCACGAGAAAAGTATTGTACGATTTTATATTCCAATACAATGTTTAATTTTTAATGTATTAAGTTTTATGTATGAATAAGTTGAGCTTAAATGAAGAGAATTTTATAAAGTTCATGCTTATCTACTCGCACTAGATGATGGCCATAGCTTTTGTGAGTCATCGATGACACGTTGTGTACAGTATCGATGATAGGTAGGAATAATAGGTAAAAAAATAATATCATTTAAAACATACAACATAATATAAACCTCAACATGAGGGGCCGAGGAAGGAGATAACGACCAAGTCAAAAGGAGACAAATCCTCCTTGGAGTAATTTCGATAAGCTTCATCTCATTATCCATCAAATCTCTCTCTCATATATATATACACACACGAACGTGTAGGCACATTGTATGTGGCTGAGTTGAACACAACATGGACGCAGTTGTGAATTTCTAGCCATTGAAGTTGAGTAGAAGAGCCCTTGTTTTGAGGGCAATGTAACTTTAAATGCAACCCCCAATTTTCTTCATTCAATTGCGGCTGTATACATTTTTGAAAGTGAAAATACGGGAAGGTCATAACTTGTTGGATGATGGATCACTAAATTACATCAACAACCAATTATTCTTCTATTTAATGAATACAAACAAATAACAATTATTATATTTACATGGTGGAATTTTGGTTGGTCCAATTCTATGAATTCTCTCAAATCTTTTATACTTCATCCGTCTCATTTATATGGAATGATTTTGTTTTCACACGGATTAAAAAAATATTATTTAATGTTATTGGAAAAATATTTTTTGTTAAAAACATTCCTAATTTACTCTTATTTAATTATCAATAATTAGTGGTAAATTATTGTTGAAAATAGTAAAGAAATAAGGATATATTAGTAAACAAAAAAAAAAAAAAAACATTCTCAATGAAGAAACTAGACTATGTAATTGGGACAAAAAAAAAAAATAAGGAAAGTCAGCGTGCACGTGCACGCGGGCGCGCACACACATATATAGGACAGAGGGAGGGAGTATGACAATTTTTTTGTGGCTCGTGCTTGCTTGGTTAAATTTTTAAGTTGACTTAGAGCCATATTTGATTTTGCTAAAAATCGTTATTTTAGTAGGAGCGTGTCTGGCCCCAATTATTTTACAGATTTTGATTGAAAATTCAACCGTTACTTTGTCCTTCAGCTGCAACAATTGACCAGATGTGAGGGATGTGGGGGCCACCAATTGAAAAAAACGATAATATTTATGCTGAAAATCTGATGAAAATGGCCAACAGACACACCCTAAAATTTGATAAATATTGATAAAATGTGTGGTTAAAAAGATAATAAAAGTTATGTGAATTCCATGAAATGAAATGCGCCGTTAAAATTATTTATTGATATTGACTTAAATTATTATAAACTCTCTTAGCTAAACCAAACAGGACGTAGTCTTTTTAGAAAGTAACATTAGAAAGACGACGTGACTACACTATGGCCTTTTCTCTGCTTTGACATGTTAAATAGTTCTTATTTTAGGTAAACACAACATTGTACAGTTTAAATAGTTCTTGTTTTAGGTAAACACACAACATTGTACAGTTTAAATAGTTCTTGTTTTAGGTAAACACACAACATTGTTGTTCTCTTACAATCTCATTCAAAAAATTGTGTATTTCACAATGGAATGGTGGTATTCCGAGTAAGTTTTTGCATAGTCTTCTTTAGAAATGACTCATTGTAATAATGAGTCACTATTGAAAACTACACATATGAGATCGCCAAATATTCGGAAGTTCCTCTATTAAGAGTCTTTCTGGTATAAATTATAATCTGATTTTGATTGAAAATTCAACCGTTACTTTGTCCTTCAGCTGCAACAATTGACCAGATGTGAGGGATGTGGGGGCCACCAATTGAGAAAAACGATAATATTTATGCTGAAAATTTGATGAAAATGGCCAACAGACACACCCTAAAATTTGATAAATATTGATAAAATGTGTGGTTAAAAAGATAATAAAAGTTATGTGAATTCCTTGAAATGAAATGCGCCGTTAAAATTATTTATTGATATTGACTTAAATTATTATAAACTCTCTTAGCTAAACCAAACAGGACGTAGTCTTTTTAGAAAGTAACATTAGAAAGATGACGTGACTACACTATGGCCTTTTCTCTGCTTTGACATGTTAAATAGTTCTTATTTTAGGTAAACACAACATTGTACAGTTTAAATAGTTCTTGTTTTAGGTAAACACACAACATTGTTGTTCTCTTACAATCTCATTCAAAAAATTGTGTATTTCACAAGGGAATGGTGGTATTCCGAGTAAGTTTTTGCATAGTCTTCTTTAGAAATGACTCATTGTAATAATGAGTCACTATTGAAAACTACACATATGAGATCGCCAAATATTCGGAAGTTCCTCTATTAAGAGCCTTTCTGGTATAAATTATAATCAACTTTTAATCGATTTTTGTACCTTTTTTGTCAAATTTGCGGGGCCCACATCTCACAACAAGGTCCATATTTGCGGCTCCAACGGTAGAAATTGTGATTACAATCTTTACCAGACAATGCCTAAATCTTTTTTCCTTTTTCTTGCTGCTGAATATCTCGTTCGTACACATATTTTTTTTCGTTACTCAAGCCTCTAGTGAGTTACGGATAGAATTCAAAATGTTCAATTTTTTTATGATTCCATCATTTATAAATGAGTTGCAAAAACTTCTAGATAGGTATCAGACTTGTAAACCGAATTTATTAGACCGTTGGAATAAATATGACATAGAAACATAGTTATTGAATCACTTTTGGAAAATCAAGCTTAACATGCAATTTAAATGTGGCGTGGATGATTTACTAAAAAGCGTTATTGGTGGAGCAAGTGAAAAGTTCGACCGACAATAGAGATCAGCTTGATCAACCAAGTCAATGGAAATTAGGGCAAAAATAAAGGAATTAAGCTATGTATACACCCAATGGTGTACACAATGGTTTACACCCCCCTCACATAGAAGGGGCCCCACACACAACAACCCAAAATAAAGAGGGTTCAAAACATGGTGATTCCAAGTGGCATGTGGATGGTAATTTTATGATAATGCTAAGTGGACACAAAAGTTATTTTCTTCAATGCTTTTCTTCACCTACAATTAAGTTTGAATTATTTTTTTGTGAGTAATGATGACTCAAATATAAAAAGTATATGTATTGTAGTATTGCGATAGAACATTTGCTTATAATAGTTAATTTTATTAAAATATATATTTTTTAAATCTACATTTCAACACGTCTCTTTAAAGAATCATTTTAAATATAAATTCTTAAATTAAACAAAAAATCACTAAAATTAAAAATGAAAATAACATTTTATTCATTTCGCCTGCAAATGCATATGCATACCTGAAAAATATTATAAATACGTCGAGTCTTTTCTATATATAGCAGTTTTTTCCTTGCTCAAAGATAAATTGCTGTTAATGTGAGAGCAAAAAAAACTATATACATCTCTCCCCTCTCTGGCGCTGTCAGGACAATAACTGCACACACACACACGCACGCACTCACACTCAGAGCATTTGAAAAGAAAACCGGAAAAGAACGTAGACTCTTGTTTTTGGGCTCTCATTTTGATTACTTGGAGTGTTTGTTTTTCTTTTACACTTAATTCTTGAGTTCATTCAAGAAGCCGTTCAAGAAATGGAAAATACTCTGCATTTCGTGATTGGAATTTTTGGTGGGTTTTTCTTCACTTTCTTGTTCTCGGGTTTTTCTGGATTCTTGCATGGATTTTAAAGCTAATTGCGTTTAATTTCTTTTCTTACAGGCAATGCTTTTGCTTTGTTCCTCTTCTTGGCACCATTGTAAGTACTTAAATCCCAAGAAGGATTCATTATTCTCTGTTTGAGGGTTCCAAACACCAAGAATATTATCAGAGTTGTGTATATTTTTTATCAGAGTTTCTTGATGATGATTGTAGGATCACATTCAAGAGGATCATAAAGAAAAGGTCTACAGAAGAGTTTTCAGGCATACCTTATGTAATGACCTTGCTCAACTGCTTACTCTCCGCATGGTATATTTATTTCTATCCCAAATGTTTGAGTTTTTTAGTTATTGATAGGCCCATCACCAGTAATTCTTTAACGAATTTGCTCTTACGGATTTTTCTTGAATTTTCTCCTATTAAACTGCATTTTCTTTAGTTTTTATAATTTATGGTGGATCCATCACCAGTAAATCTTTAATGGCTCTTCCTTCACGGAATCTTCTTGAATTTTCCTATGTAAACTTGAACTCATCTCTGCTAATTGACAAGAGGCTTCTGATTTGAGAGTAAATAAAGATTATACTTCTTTTTGATGCTCTATACTTGCTGTCCAAGGGAGTTTGAAAGATTCAAGAAACAGTTTCGTGTTATTTTCTCCGTTTCTTGTGCTGCTCCTTCTGCCAAAGAAATTTGTGTTTGGCCAGAATTTTGTAGAAAAATTGCCAATACAAACTCTTAATAACTGAGTAATTCTTCCATTCATTTTTTTTAATTTTTTTATTTTTGTCGAGAAATCTACTATAGAACTGTTCTAAATGTGTGAATATTCAACACAGAGTGCTCCATAATATTATACTGAAAGTTTCGGGGTACTTTTTTATCCTAGAAAGTTGAAGAACTATGGTATAATTATGAAATAGTCATCTATGAGTGCTTCATGTTTTTTTACTTTGATTCATTTGTGGTCCATTTTCTTTACTCGGTTAAATAGGTATGGTATGCCTTTTGTGTCACCTAACAACCTGCTAGTGTCGACTATCAACGGAACGGGTGCTGCAATCGAGTCTGTATATGTGCTGATCTTTCTCATATTTGCATCGAAGAAAGAAAAGGGCAAGATCTTGGGACTGCTTACACTCGTTCTGAGTGTTTTTGCAGTTGTTGCATTTGTTTCCCTCTTTGCTCTCAATGGCAAACACCGGAAGCTTTTCTGTGGTATTGCAGCCACTGTCTTCTCCATCATTATGTATGGCTCGCCTTTGACAATTATTGTAAGTTGCTTACTCTCTATTTTGTACACGCGTATTTCTTCGTCTTTGAGTTTATTCGGATAAATCAAAGGCTGGAAAATAGGATCAGTTCTTTCAAGAATATGTAAGGCTTTTTCTTAGAACTCTTTATTGTTATCTGAATGTTTTTTACATTATTGAATTCCATTCTAATGAAATTGACCTTTCTTTTCAATTGTAGAGGCTAGTTATCAAAACGAAAAGCGTGGAATTCATGCCATTCTTCTTGTCATTATTCGTGTTCTTATGTGGTACTTCCTGGTTTATCTTTGGCCTGCTTGGAAAGGACCCTTTTGTTGCTGTAAGTTTGTGCATTTTCCTGTCGATTTCAGCCATTCGATAACTTTATTTTCAAATTTCAGTAAGCGATGAATCCAGATTTTCTTATCAAATGATGTGCAATGCTTTTCAGATTCCCAACGGTTTTGGCAGTGGACTAGGAACAGTGCAACTGATTTTATACGCCATTTACCACAACAACAAAGGGGAGACAAGGAAATCCCGTGCTGATGGATCCCTCAAGATGGAGTCGAGCAATGGCGAGAAGCCATCTAACACACAAGATGAACGAGTCTAGACTTGAAAATGCGTGTTAATTAGAACTACAATATTGTGACTTCTGTGCCACAGGCCCACTACTTACTGTATGAGTTTGTTTTTCTGTAGAAATGATCCTTGGTTAATTTGCCTGCTGATAATGCCATTTAGGCCTATCTTTCTGTTGTTGTTCTATTTCAGTTCAATATCAATGAATTCTGTGACTTCTTGGTTAGTATGGTCCTTTCTTATTTGTTTTATAATCGTGTTATTCTCTTCTTTGATCTGTCATTTTAATTTTCGTCTTGTTCTTTTCGTTTTGGGTAGGATTTTCTTTAGCTTGCTTATGAGAGTATTAAACTGAGTAGTGCCCAAAGGTTTTGTGAGCACATCTGCATTCTGTTAAGGACAATGCTACATATACACCCTCTTTTTTATCTAATCTTTTAACTACACTCACAATAGGGTGTGGGGACCACACATTTGAAAGTTTTTTATTCACGCGGGCCACGCGCGCATGTGAGAGGATGTAACATTTTCGGTACACCATTTTCGGTACAAATAGAATTATTCTTCTGTTAATCAATGCAGAAGACAAGTCACTTGTGACGCACATCAAATTGGGAAACTTACGTAAATGTCCTTAAATTTGGGATCCTTTTAAAAATCATCATAAACATGGGCTAAAACATAAATACTACAATTTCAATCATTATTACGGTAAGAAATACGGTGTAAACAGAAATAACTTACTTACATAAAATATGAAGTCTACACGCTCCAAATCATGCAAAATCGAAATCATAAGAGGAAATTTTTCACAAATCAAGCCAAATAAGATCAAGGGCTGCTTCAGTTACCTTTTATTCAAAGTTTTCTTCCCCAAATCTACAAATAATCAACCCTAATATAAATGTTTATATATCTCTGACTTTTGATTCAATTAATTCATATTTTGTTTGATTATTGAGTAACAATTTATATATTTTGTGATTATTCAGTAAAAAGAAAATATTTATAAGCTAATTTTTAATGATAACTATCGATTTAATTCCCAAATTTACTGATAACTATCGAGTTAGCATATATTAAAATTCAAATTTGTACTAATTGGATTGAGTTGGTATATATGAAAATTCAACTTTGGATCAATTCAAGTGATGCATGCAATGTGTTTTTGAAAATGTAAATACAAATATAAGAATGAGAAAAGTGATATCTTCTGTCACTTTTTTAAGCTTGTTGTCTATCTCATTAGATTTCTTTTCGATCAATTAAGAAGATACATGCATGTGTGTTTCTAAAATTTAAATATGAATATGAATTCAAACCTTAATTTAATTATAAAGTGAGATAATGTAACACTTTATTTGTCTTTTGCATATGAATTAATGTAGTGGAATTTAAAAGTGACACAGTCTATCACCTTTTTTTAAAAAATAAAAAAATGAAAATCTCACACTATTTCATTTATATTCTTATTGCAAATATGAATAAAATTAACGTCTTCAATCTATTGTGAAAGCAAATGAGAACAAAATAACGAAAATAAAATTTATAATGACTGAAATTGTTGTCCCAATAGAATGCACATGCGACATTTGTTAAAGCGTTGTCACTTTTTTTTAAAGATGCTGAGTTTTAGAAATGTTAAAAATATACTAAGCCGTTATTATTGTTGTTGATATGCGATTGCATCAATAAATTAACTGGCGTATCCTTATATTTATGCATAAGTTTTATGAAGTTCAAAGTGTAAGAGTGACATACCATGTCACTTTTTTGAAGGGGTTAAGATATATCCTTATTAATATAAAAGAGGCAATCCACACGTTACTATTCATTCAGGACGTATTTTACTTTTCCCATTTTATCCCTCTCTTTCCTCTTTCCGAAGTAAAGAACGTAGGTGTTAAATGTCCAAAAAATCTGCATTTACTATTCATTCTGGTGGAGGAGGTTTCACACCACTGTAGCAAAATTTCTTGCACTCGGAGAAACTTGCTCTACACTGTTTCAATTTACAATTTTTTATTGATTTCAATTTCAACTGTTGATTCCTACTTTTTTTTTTTTTTACTGCAGCCCAACTTCGTTGACTATAAGGTAGTGTATCTTATCTTATCTTATCTTACTACATATATATCCACCCTATCCTTCTTGGCATTTACTATTCACTCTGGTGGAGGAGGTTTCACACCACTGTAGTGAAGTTTGTTGCACTCACTGTAGCGAAGTTTGTTTTGCACCGTTTCAATTTACAATTTTTTATTGATTTCAATTTCAACCGTTCATTCCTACTTTTTTTTTTTTACTACAACCCAACTTCATTTTGTACTGTTCAATATTTAGTCAATAAAAAACACAGAAAATCCAAAAAAAAAAAAAAAAAATTCCCGACTTCCTATGAAAAAAATATCTGCAAACTGACTACACTATATATACATGCAAGTGCACTAAACGCATTTCCAATGACACAGTTTCCTCTTTTTCGATTTTGTAGTGTTCATTAGTCAATAAAAAACACAGAAAATCCAAAAAAAAAAAAATTTTGCCGACTTTCTATGAAAAAAATATCTGCAAACCGACTTATTCACTGTATGTATTTTTTCACTTTCTGCACTATATATACATGTGTTTTGAAGTGGCAAAACAATCGCTTGAAGGTAGATCTCTATTCATTAACGTTATATTTTTGCTTTTTCATTTCAATTTTTTTTTTGCAATATGCTTTAGGTTTTTTCGCTTTTGTTTAGTTTTATGTTTTTCGTCCTTCTTTGTTGTGTTATAAATTATTTATAGCAAGTAGCTCCGGACAC